TTACTTCCGTTTGGCTCCTAATTTGGAGAACAGGAAGTTGATAGATTTGGCTAATCAATAAGCAAAACTTGGCTTGCTTGACGACAAGGGATTTCAGTCCGAAATGGTTGACGTTTTATAGGAGCGAACTTAAAACGATTTTCAAAGATCCTGAAGATATTTTTTGAGGAGGAAGACGATCCGAAAGGTATTTCAGGTAATTAAGAAAGTAATTTTATAGTTAATGCGAAAAATTGAGTTGAACGAACTCACGTGCCCATACCATACCGTTGTTTTTAGCGATACAATAAATAAATGCTCTGTGTTTATATCATTTCGCTCGCTATATGAGCATTTACAATACCGTAACCGTACTTCAACGACTTCCGTTTCTGTAAAATCCATACGAAGTCCGCATCCAGTGAGAACTTGCGCTGCTCATCGATTTTACGATCCTCGATGTTCTCATTTTCGGTGACCGAGTCTTCTTTAACTTATATCTTTTAATTTTGGCCTTTAAAACAGCTTATTTCAATTGAAGATGAACAGCAATTTAAAAGTAAGCCGCGAGCGCACCTCATTTGCATAATGTTTACAGCCCATCGAGCGAGGGAGAAATTTTCCAACAACTCATGATAACTCGTGTTGCGCATGCGCAATTCACGAGTTAAAAACGGCCATTTTTTAAGCAATTTGAGCGGCGAAAACGAGCCGCGAAGCCGCGAGGAACTGCCTGCCTGGATTATCTGCATTCTTTATTGCCGCCTCCATTATCATTATCTACTGACAACCCGATGACAGGTTCTGTGAATCGTATAACACAGCTGATCAGAACGTAGATCGTAATAAGAAACTTCCAGCAACTTGGCAGGGAAAAATCACTGTGATACTGTAGAGTCTATCAAAACAAAACTATCCATGCGGTGTTTGCTCGATGGCAGTGAAGGGCAAAGCCTGTCAAGGGAGGAATTGAGAGAACTGTAAATGATAATCGTAGACTTTGTTGTTGTCCGCTCAAGATTAAATTCAGAGAATTTAAACATTTCTATTCCAAACTTTTTCAAGGTCTGTAAGCGTTAAGGATTTCAAAATGGCACTTAGTCAGAAATCTGAAATTGGTCTAGAAATAGAAAGATCAGACACATCATCTGATCATGCGTGCTTTTGAACTTCATAATTTCATCTACTCGGGCATGCAGGAAGTGAAGCAAGCCGCGATCGAAGTCCTCAAACAACAAAAGGACATAAAACATCAGACGACAGTTCAATTGCTGTGAAGTTCAGCGATAATATTTCTGAAATCTGGTCGTCGATGATGCTCTTTAACAGCGAAATAACAACGATACTGGTTCTCGTAAACGACAATTCTTGTCTGGTGAGCGCAAACAGTGAAACACGATAAAAATCATGCTTTAGCCAAAGCCTGTTGGGAAAACGGCCATCACATCTCTCCCATGAGGAAAATTGCTTACGGTTGTTTTTTGCTCGTGTTTGGCAGTACGTTAACAATTTCGCGATATTCGCGAAGAATATTCAGGCGGTTTCTCAACTATTTTCTGTTTACACGCCAAAGATCTGCGTTGTAATCAGTGTTGTTCCTTGGAGCTGTCCCTTGGGAGATGAGCGAAAATTTTGATTGATGTGTTAGTCTTCTGATCCAGTGGCAATGGCCCGTACGCCAGCGCAGTGGACAAACAAAAAATGCCGGTCATCCGTGCTGGCGGTTTCTCAGTTGTCTGTCTCCCAGGCTCCTCGCGGCTTCGCCGCTTTCTTAGCGCGCTCAAATTGCCTAAAAACCGCCAGGCTATGCAGGCTATGCAATTTTCAGAGCTTTATTCATAACTCTCATAGATTCTCTTCGTTTCATATAAACAATTATTAACCAGGAACACATAGAGTGGTCTGCCTGTGTCTAGAATCAAGTGAAATAATAGCTGATTAATTGCTTTAAGCATTATAAATATACTGCAAGCTCGTCTTCAATGAAGCCGTTTGATGCCTTGTTCTTCGTTTATAGTTGTAGATGGCTGTGTAGCTCACCATTACAAGGCCCGCTTTATTTACACATGTAAAGCTTATCGAGAAAGTGTCGATTAAATGAGACCGAGTTGGCTTGAGAATCCGTGGTGTTTTTGACGACTACATGCGTCAAGAGGAAAGTTATCCAAATTCGAATACTAGCTTGGGGAAAATTGTCGCGAGACCAGAACTACCATACAAAAATTGACTTCCGGTTGATGCCTTTAGGTATCGCGCGTGCGTTCGCCCGTTGTCAATCGCGAGGGTGTTCATTTGCCAGCGTTTCACTTCGTAACTAATTACCTATAAATAGCTTTCAATACTTTCTGTTTAGTTAAATTTCAAGGCAACCAGATTTCCTGAAATCAGAGTCCAAATTTTATCAGCTTGATATTTCATTGGCAACAATGTTTTTACAACTTTGATATTCCCTGTTTCTATCACTCTATTGATCAAATTATGTCGTTTCTTTCAGATTTTTTATTTTTTTATTTTTAGCTTCTTTAAATTTGAGTGATTTCTCGTCATCGAATCATGAAAATTAATTCAAGACGGCGGATATTTCGGCGTCATAGTGAAATTGCAAGCAGCGCGTGTTCACCTCAATATTACACTTGTACAATAGTCAACTCTTGATCTGTTGCGCCTCGACAATTTACTTGGTCCCAGAGAAACCAATGGTATCTCTGCTTCTATAACAGGAAGACCTCCATAGCTCTGCCCTTTTGGTGTTCCTATTGAAACGGTTTGATTGTATTTCTTTTAAAGTTTATAAATCCTTTCTTGATTTTCTATCATACTATCTAAGATTTCTTGTACTGAGGAACATGCAACAGAATCTGTTCCTTGAAATACATCGGTATCTGTTCGCCAACGGACAACTAAGTGCTAAATACCGCCGGCCCGATCTCATTAAGTCCAGAGTAAATATTATGGGAGTGTCACGTAGAACATATGTGATTAGGGACCATGCCGTTCTTGAAGTAAGTTAGTTGAAAAATCTTTTGTGTTCTGTTGGGAAAATACCGTTTTTGGTTGGGTTTGATTGATTAGTGGGGGAAGGGGAGGAGAGGGAGGTCAGAACCTCCCGCTTCCCGTACCTTTATCCTCCGACTTTGTGCGCCATGCTTCCGTCCCCCGTAAATAAGGAGACTCAAAACATATCCTTGTCATTTAGCTCCGCAATCCTAAGGCGTTTACCTTTGTTTATGCTCCTCTTACCCACGTCTTTTAAAAGCTTAGCGACAACATTTCATGACCTATGACGTAACTACCGCAAAAGGGTTTCCAATTTTACTAGAAGTAAGCCCCAGGTTTTCAGCCCTAGGGGGAATTTTCGTTTTTCCGTCGGCCCAGAAGTGTCAAAACAGGCTAAATATAAGTTAAATAACATTTTGGGTTCTTGTTTTTCAATGTGTTTTAACTCTTAATAAATGATTCCCGCCTTCTTAAAACTCCCCCTTCCCGCCCTTTCCTCTCCCGCCTCCCGCCCCCTATTCTTCCGGGTTCCCGCCCCCTGTTCCCCCAACTGATCAACTTCATCAAATAACATGAAATTTAAACCAATTTTGTTTTATAATTTAATTGAATTCACAAATCTCCCAAAAAACAAAGCATGGACAAAATAATAAAGACTGTGTTGGGGTCTCAAATGTAATAAATGTCCCTAAATGTAATAACGATCCTAAATGTAATAAAATTTGGCTCTAAATGTAATAAAGGTCGTAAATGTAATTAAGGTCCTAATTGAAAAAAGTCTCGAGCGTGGTAAAACCTCGCCTAAACCTGAAACCACAGTGGTAAGAAGACAATATTTAAAAGTTTGGCCTTTTACCTTTATTATACAAAGGAATAAAGGCAAAGATATTTTAAATTAACGGCGATTGCAACTAATGTTCTTGTATATTCAGATGCTACAGAAGTGAGCCACAGTTTCACTTTATCTTTATTGCATGTCTTATTTAACAGGAGTCAACATCAACAGACCTTGAGTTAATTATTTTAGAAACAATAGAAGGTATGAATTTCCACGAATGTCTCTTAAAATGTTTGAACACATGAATTATTGAGTAAGTTCTGGTAGATGTCCATCATCCTCGCTCCTGTTCTTTTTCGAAGCTACTCTTCATGAGAGCTTGTTAAGAGCGTAAATCCGAAAATATCGAGAATCGGCCGACAGAAGCGAAATAACGAATTTTTTC